GGCAGGGCAGGGTCCTGATGGGAGCCGGCTCCGTCTGGGTGGTTCCCAGTGCCCTCATGACCCCACCCCGGGCTCCGGGCCAGCAGGCTGACCACACAGGGTGGCCTCAGGTCTGTGGGCAGAGAGGCCCGTGTGGAGGCCGCTGGGCAGCCGTGGGGCCGGGGCCCTGGGGGCCTGGGCTGGTCCTGCCATGAGCTCTGTCTGTCCCTGGACAGTGGGGTGGGGTAGAAGAGATGGCTGGGTGAGTGTGGGGGGCAAAGAGGAGGACCCAACCCCCACAATTACCAGCCAAAGGCCGATCATCACCCTCGATTATGGGCACAAGGACACTCCTGGCCTGATTTCCCTCTGGTGTGCCCTCTCGCGGCTCTGTCCCTCTCGGTCACCTGCCGGGTCTAGAGGTCACAGTGCATGCAGCCCAGGCCCAGGCCTCCTTCCCGGGGCCCTCCTGGAGCCCGGCTTCTGCCCCCACCCATGGTTTGGCTCTACCACAAGAAGCCCGGCCAGCCGGCCCACAAAGAACCTTCTTTCAGGGAGGACGGTAGGTGTGCTGAGCAGAAGGTCATGGCCGAAAAAACCAAAGTCCCTGCTGAGTTCAAGATCAACTGTGAGTGCTGGGCTCCTGGGCCGCGCCGGACAGCCGCCGCTCTGGCTCGCCACAGGGCTGGGGGGGCCTGTGTTCCGGCCTGAGGGTGCCCTGCATTGCCAGCTCTCCCGGCCCCTGCCCCCACCTTCAGTGCTATGGGTGTAGAGCCTCGGTCAGGTCCCTTCTGGGCTGCTCTGACCCTGGCGGCCACAAGACCGAGCTTGCCGTCTGTGGCCAGGACCTCAGGGAGCATCTGCATCCGCCGCCCTCCATGCTGCCTCCTGGGCCTATCCTCCTGCCTGGCTTTGGCCAGAGGAGGCCTCAGGTGATAGCTGCTGGCCGGCCCCAGGGGCTCCAGCACCTTCTGCTGCACAGGGGCTGGGACGTCGGCCCTTCCTGCGATGCTGTGCCCCTGGCAGCCCACAGGGACACCCCCCACCCCCACCCCAGTGTGCCTCTCATCACCATGGCGACAGACCCTGCCCCCTCGGACCAACCTATTTCTGGAGGGTCCCCTTCTCCTCCCAGGGGCAGAAACCCACTTCTGAACCACTCTGGGCCCCAGGACACAGGACTGAGTGATGAGCGAGCCCTGTCTAGGAGGTGGCTCAGCATCTGTGGCGGGATCCGCGGTGAACAGGGAGGGCCGCACATCTCCCTGGGTCATGTGGGGTTCTGGAGAAGCCCCCCGCCCGGGCCGTGCCAGTGGTGGCCACAGAGGACCCCATACACCCCCACCCCGGTCTCTCCCCAGATCTGGAGGAGAACAAGTTCTCTGTGCTCGACACGGACTACGACAACTACCTGTTCTTCTGTATGGAGAGCACAGGCGCCGCCCAGCCGAGACTGACGTGCCAGTACCTGGGTAGGTCCCCCGGCGAGCACCGGCCGGCAACAGGCCTTGAGTCCCCAGGGGAGGCCCCCAGGGTCTTGTCAGGAGAAGGTGGGCAGGTGCTGAGAAAGGCGGTGTCTTGGGGCCGGTAGGTGGCTGGTCACCAGGACAGATGCCGGCCGGGGGGCCGGTTAGCAGCGAGCTCCCACGAAGTCCCCGTGTGACAGGCAGGCTCACAGCCCTTGCACACTGAGTTTCCTTTATTCCACCAAGTAACAAGTCAGATACAAAAACGTCTGTAAACTGTAACATCCTGAAAACAAGTATAAGGTGCCATTTCCCGGTCACAGGAACAGCACCACCATGTGCTCCCCGGGTCCCCTCAGCAGAGGCTCCCGGGTCTGTAAGTCAGAAGGCGCTGGTGCGGGACCCCCGGCAGCCCGGGGCAGGGAGCCCTCTGTTCCCAGCGCCGTCCCGGGAGGAAGGGGAGGGGACAGGGACCCTGGAGCCCAGGGCTGACCTGCCTCCCCCCACAGCCAGGACCCTGAAGGTCGACAACGAGGTCGTGCAGAAATTCGACAGAGCCCTCAAGACCCTGCCCGTGCACATCCGGCTCTTCTTCAGCCCGACGCGGGTAGAAGGTGATCCTCTCCACACCCCACGTCCCCGCTCGCCCCCGCGTGGGGCTCGCCCATCGGACAGCCGCGAGTGCTGGGCCCCACTGCCTCCCATGGTGGCCCCCCGCTTCCCAGACCACCCAGGATGGGGGAGTGGGAGGTGCAGAGCCCCCGAGGTGGTGTCCTCCCGCCCCACCCCCTCTGCCACACCCCTCTGGGCCCAGGGCT